ACATAAAGAGCTGCCCTCTCGTTCCCTGGGAGAGTGAGCAGGGCATAGTTCCGGCCAGGACTGTAAATCGTTTGCTTCATTTTTAACAACAAATATACACAAGGGAAATGCTCCACTTTGGTGTGAAATACTCTATTTTTTTCCCCCTTACATGAACATTTACATGTACCCAGGCTCTGGCTGGGTGGTTTGGCTTACAAATCGGGTGTGAGTTCACTTTGCACACCAGGCTTTGAATGTTGATGAAGGACACCTGTACTTCCCGGCAGGGAGCTAATTTGTATAATTTATTCATGGACAGTTTCACAGCCAGGATGCCTAATCCCCTTCCCCTAACCTCTTTAGGTTTCATTTGAATATCGGCTACCCTGTGCTGCCAAGTAGCCGCCTTGGGTGCTGGGGCCCTGCTCTTAGAGGGTGGAGGGAAGTGTCTTTATTCCTGCCAGTGGCTGAGAGGCACGTCAAGGGATGAGAGGCATTCACACTTTCCACTCAGTTCATAATCAACAAATTCTCATCCTGAGGACTCCGCTTGAAGTGCCTGTCTCCTGGGTTGAGTTTCTCTCTTGACGGTAAAAGCAACTTCTCCTTCAAAGCCCTTATCATTTCCCGGCTCCCTCCGCAGCCGCTCTTGGTGACTGATGCCTCTGATATGGCCAGTGTGTCACCTGGCCATCAGTCTTCCGGCAATTATGGCTGGCTTCTTTGCAGGGTGCTTATTTCCTTCCTCAGCTCACTTAGAGTCACGCCGATTTCGGTTAATCAATGATCTGAAGGATCGCTCTTGATGGTTTCCTTTATTGTTCTTCCTTTATTTTATTTTCTTTATTTATTCCCCTCCCCCCCCTTTCAATTGTACCTGCATTTATCTCTCTGTCACAGAGCTCCAGTTCCCCATGTCTCTTGACTGAGATCAGCTTTTCTTTGATAGACCCCCAGGTCCAGATAAGGGGTCCATTTTTAAAGCTGTTCCGTAAGCAGCTGAATGTGCACAGGTGGGCAGACTGAAAGCCCAGCCCGCACACTTCTCTAGTGGGCTCTTTCCTAGGCCGGCTTAAGCCCCGAGGTGCCTCAAGAGGTTAAGTATGCCTCCTTTGGACCCTGATAACTCCTTTCAATGGTCTCTTAAGGAGTGCGCCAAGTTTAGGATCTTGAAAGGCAAACAAAAGAAGCACACAGGCTTAAATTAATACTTGCCAAGAAAAACTTCATTTTCCTGTGATTAGGCCCTTGCTGGACAGACAGGATGGTGTTCTTCATTCCATCTCTTGGTAAACGAGAGTATTTTCCTGTGTTGTTACTTGTTGCTGCTGCCTTGTTCTCAGGAACATTTTATTAAAATGAATTCTGGTTTATCTTGAACAGCAGCAACAAATCAATTCCATCATGCAGTCTATTCCATACTGGTGCTGGAGGGACTGTTCCTTGGCCATGGACACTGTGTGTAAACTGGGGTCATTTACACAGCCACGAAGGCAGCCGGGTCGGCTCCTGATGCTGAGCAGCGTGGACACGGGAACCACACTGCTTGGAAACACCGGCTCACGAGGGCGGCTGTGTGCTGGGAACATGGCTGCAGATCATCTGCTACTCTAAGAATCCGAGCTTTGTCCCGAATTGAGTGCACCTCATTTCCCTTAAATGGCTGATACAAATGATGAGATCCTACTCAACATCTGCTTTCCTTCCAGGGGTCTGGACTTTGGGGGTGGGAAAGGCAGGGAGGGGGTGTCTGCATGCCTGGGCCCAGTGAGAAAGATGTGCACTGAGCTGCTCATAGATTGCCTGCTCTATTCCACTGCTATATTTTTGTTGTCTGGGGCAAAGTACAAACTGGGTAGGAGAGCAAGCGTGAGCATAGGAGGACATCTGTATGTTGATGCCTCCGGAAACGGCCTGAACCTCTGTCCCATCTGGTGCTGTTAGGTATCTGTGTAGCTAGAGCCCATGTCCCAGGAGCTCTCCTAGCAAATCTCTGGATGAAGGAATCACCCAGGGAACCTTTGAGCCCTGCCATTAGTTGTTATGAAATTCCCAGAAAAACCATTTGATGGCATTTATCATCCAAGACGTAGAGCTGATCCTCCATCTTCTTCACTCCTCATGCGTCATTGTTCATTGTTTGGCTTCCACGTTTCTGAAGGGTTTGGCTCTGCTCAGTTTATGTGTTCTTCTACTCCCCTAATGGGCCCACCTCACTCCATTCTTTTCTTTTGTTTCATCATCTCTAAACTAATTTTACAGACAAAGTCCACATCTTACAAAGACAGCTAGTGAGTGCCAAGACCATTGGCATATGGAACTGGATGTTTACTTTAAAAAAAATGCATTCAAAGCAAAAGATGTAATACTACAATAGTTATATGTAATATCAACATAGAGACCCTTAGAAGTGTGCCCAGATATTTAAAAGAGGTCCTGGGTTGGTTAACTTGAGAATGTAACCGAAGCAGCCATTTTTGGATGGTGTTAAGAATGAAATAATGTTGACAGGGTCTTGGGTATTTGTCTTGTTCCAAGGCTGTGTTTATGTTTCCCTCAAGTACATTTAAGGTATAACCCATGAGAACAAAGCAGGGTTCTTTTAACTTCTCACTGTAGCTAAGCAGCTGGTGTGGCGGATGCTGAAAGTATGGACAAAACAGTGATTCTGAAAAGAGCAAGAAGCTGAGGACAGCGAAGCAAGGCCAGAACAACTTTGAAAAGATTGACTTGTTAAGAGTGTGAAAAATGGCAGTAACTTTGAAATTCCTCTCTAGTTGATAGCCCAGCCTTGCCGTGGAGTGAAGCACACCTTTAAAAGGAGGTGTATTTTTAGAAGGGGCAGAATTTCACAGGGCGCTTTGGTATTGATGCATCAGCTGGTGCTCTAGGGTACACAGTTATTCTATTCTAGGAGTTCAGATTCTTCACAAAGGGATTAAGGTTGGCTTATTACCGATATCAATACTTAAAAACAGTTTATTGTATCCAAGTGTGGTGGGCGGGAACATGGAGCTCCTGGGTGCTTTCTTTCTAACTCACCAAGAGAGCCTGCTAGCTCTTTATGCAGGGGTGTCTCTGAGGGTCTTTGAATTTTGAGATTTCAGCAGAGTTCAGGGCACTGATCTGCCCTAGCAACAAGGAGGTAGTAGTCATTGTTTGTATAGTATGTACTAAAAGCTTTATTTGAGAGGGAAAGAGACAGTTAAGAAATGCATCTTGTAAATGTTTGTTTTATTTCCTCAGATGAAGGGAGGAGATGAGAGCTAGTCCCAAGCCTTTCTCATGCTTTCTGAACTCTTGCTGGCTCAACTCAGCTGTTCTCGCCCAAACTTCTCTCCAAGCTGACTGATTTTGGGGATTCTCTTGGATTTTGACTGAATTGCTCTGCCTGGCCTCAAACTAGTTCTGGCAATATGTTTTAATTTTCTGGCTCCTTCTCATTCTCTGGTTCATTCTCTGTTCTTTGCAACCTGTCTTTGTAAAACTGTCCTGGTAATCACCTCTTGGTAAAAACAAAAACAAAAAACAAAAACAAACAAACCAAAACCAAAACCAAAACCAAAAACTCTCCTCTCTTTGTGTACTGCTCTTAAGTAGTCTGTCTTTCCTGTTTGTTCTCTTGGGAGTTGTGTGTATCTTCTCTCTGACTCATTCTGTCAAACCTTTCTCTGATTCATCACCTTGTCTGCCCTTAAATTAGACATTACCTTCTGTAAACTAAGCTACCTTCATTGTTTGGGATTAAAGGTGTGTACTAAGGGAGTGTCTGTATTCCAGCCAGATCATACCGTAATCCAGAGTGTGTCTGCACTCCAGCTGATTACATAGATTTACAAGGTCTTTGGTTATGATGCCTTACAAGAGCAGCCACGTTGCAGGATTAAAATTCCCCTACTCTTCTGGGTAAGAAATGGGGTGGCAGTGAAAGTGAATCACTTTATATAGCTGGCAGACGGGAAGTTGCCACTGAGGCCTGCAGTTAGCTCCTGTTGGTAATTCAGAATAGCATTCTGTGTGGTTCTTCACTGCTGGATGCTCCCTGGAATATGTTTCTATTGTGTTTCTTAAGGTGCTATGGCTATAGCCCAGGGCTGGTGTGTGTCACACTGAATCACATCCCTGGCTCTGAAAATACATTTAAAGACTAGCTTGGGTTTTGAGGCTTTCATGCAAGCCTCATCTGTATTGGCTACCTCGCTTATACTGTCCATGATGCTTGGAACAGGCTTCTGGGAAATAACAACTCTAAAGACTCACGAAGGCAGACTATGACTAAAGCCTTTCTCAACCCAAGCTCTCCCTCTGCCTGTAGCTCAGCATGTGGCTCTGTACCAGCGCCACAAACCCTTCAATGCTTCTGCCAAGACGACAAGAAACTAAGTCTCTAAAACTTTAAGCACATCTCCAAGAAAATGCTTTGTTTTATAGGAAAGAAAGAAAGAAAGAAAGAAAGAAAGAAAGAAAGAAAGAAAGAAAGAAAGAAAAACCTTCCTTAAAAGCATACAAAACACAGCATAGGAATGGATTTTTCTTTGAATAATCTCTAAATGCCAGGGAAATGCAGGCATGGGATGAGCTGCAGTTAGCATTTTAAAATTCCACACCCTGAAGATTGGCTCAGGCTCATCCCATGGCCCAATTTAGTAACCCTATAGGACTGTCTAAAGTCTGTGTGGCTTTAGAGAGGAACTGGCAAAATTACTGCAGACTCAAATGAACACAGCACTATCAGTAGGATTATAAAGGCTCCCACATATAAGTGGTGTTGGCTCTCCCTGCACACTCAGAGATGCCCTGGAAACTCACACGTTTGCTACTTTAAACATTTCCCAGTTTCGAGAGCTAAAGAGAGGGTTTGCACACATCCTGGGCTTAAGTCGACATGTGTGCTTAGCCATCTACCAATAGCAAATACCTATACTGGTAGCAACGGAGCATGGGTGCAGTTTTATATATGTGCATAAAAGCCTGCATATTTGCAACACACAGAAGGTAAAGAAAAATGCGGAACGCACCATACTCTGGGACCTGTCCCGTGCCTCGCTTCAGCAGCAACCTCACTCTCCTTCCTCCAGATTTGATGAGTTCTATTGCTCTGGCGTGCGTCATGTCCCTTGTGCTTTCCCCATTGATTTCAATGATTTGGTCTCCTACCTGCCAATGAAAGAGAAATGAAGTCAGGCGAAGATGGTTTGCATTTCCAACTATTCAAATATCATCCTGTTTCCAAAGAGCACTGGAGCTGTTTGCCTGCCTCTTAGAGGGGGATCGTTCCCGGCTACACATCTCTGATTCTGAGTAACTTGAACGCATGGTTCATAACTATCTGGGATGGCAGAGGCCTTAGCTAAAATACTGGGCATTAAAAAAAAAAAATTGGAAAACAGATCCGATATTACAATTCAAAACATCTTGGCAGCTTTGTTTGAATCAAGAAGTAAATATTCTAAGGCTTTTTCATTGATCGCATTGTCAGCTTTTGGCTTCATGCTATATCTGTTTAGCACATTGGAAAGAAAGATTAAGTTTTTGTGCTTCTCTGGGAATTTTTGTTGTGCATCATTTAAATTCCCCTGGGTGCTACTGCAATATTGCCTTTCCAGTAAGCCATGGTTAGTTGGTATTCTGGTTTGATGGAGAGTTCTCTGTCATTGTCCCTTGAATTAAAAATGAGATCCTCTCTGCTCCATACATGACTAATGCCCTTGTGAAATCCTTGTCACGCTCACACCTGGTTGACGATGGAAGCTCTTTGGTGAAGCATCATTCCCTCTGGAATTGTCAAAAAAATGCCTGTACTCCATAAGCACTTCCCATTTAGCTTCAACCACACACATATCAGGTAACTCCCAGAGGACCATTATTATCAGGGGCCTTTGAAAGAAAATATATTGAATTTCAGAGCAAAGTACTTAAGACAAATTAGCCAGGGAAAACACAATTAATTGCTTTGCAAAAATTTATTATAGATCTCTATCTCTCTTTGTCTGTCTGTCTGTTTCTGTTTCTCTCTCTCTCTCTCTTGGTTTTTTGAAAGAGGGTTTCTCTGTGTATCCCTGCCTATCCTAGAACTCGCCCTCCAGCCCAGGCTGGTCTTGAACTCAGAGATCTGCCTGCCTCTGCCTCCCAAGTGCTGGGATTAAAGGCGTGCACGACCACCTTCCATTATAGATGGTTTCTCAAACAAAGAAGAGCTCATCCTGATTAATTTGTACAGAGTGCAGAGAAATGAGAAAGATCTACAGTCACATGAGTTGACCAGGCAGAGGAGTAAGCAGTGGTTGTCGCAATGGCCAAAGGGTATTGCAGTAAAAACCCTCAACACACTTAGCAAGGAAGTGACGTGTCTCTCTAAAGAGGATTCTTCAAGTGGCCTGTACCCCTTCCAATATAATGGCAGTAAGAATTTCCCTTCACGTGCTTGGTGGCCTTCAGAGACATAGGTATGGGGCAGTGGAAGAGGTTGGTGGCATCTTTGTGGCATCCATATTTCAAGGGATAACTCAGAAGACAGGACTAAACCAAAATGTAATGTTTCTGTGCTGGCTAGTGTTATGTCAACTTAAAGCTGGGGTCATCTGAAAGGAAGGCCCAGCCCATGGTGGGTGGTGCTACCCCAGGGCTGGCGGTCCTGGATTCTATAAGAAAGCAGGCTGAGCAGGCCAACAAGAGCAAACCAGTAAGCAGTGGCCCTCCAGGGCCTCTGCATCCTGACTCCAGGTTCCTGTCCTGCCTTCCTTCGATGATGAATTATAATATGGTCTTGTCAGCCAAGTAGGCTGCTGAGGGCAATAGCGGGGGGCTGTGCTCCCATCTTGTCGCCCCTTACAGGGGTCACTATTCATGCAAGCCAGAAGTGTGGGATCATGCTGGACTCCTTAAAAATCAAAGTTTATTATGATTTTATTTTATTTCAGTGTGTGTGTGTGTGTGTGTGTGTGTGTGTGTGTGTGTGCCGTGCGTGTGATATCTGTGGAAGCCAGATGAGAGCATTGGGTCCCCTATGACTGGAGATACAGGTGATTGAGCACGCCTGGCATGGGTACTGGGTAATGAAGTATGGTCCTCTGCAAGAGCAGTAAGTGCTCTTAACTGCTGGGCCATCTCCACAGCTCCATACTCCCTTCTAAAATTCAGCTTCTCTGCAACTGTTTCCGCTCTCTTATACATCCAGTTGTGTGCCAGCCCAATTCTGGCCTGTACCTGGATGAGTACAATGTTCTCCTACCTCTCTCTGCTCTAGTTCTCAGCACAGTCATTCTTCCTAGGGTAGGAACCTTATGCTGATCGGAGCATCAAGATTCTCCTTGCCTTCTCTTTCTCACAGGCCTGCATGTCTCAAGCCCAGCCTAAACATCCTCTCTTCTTGGGTGCCTTCCACAAACCTGCCAGAGGTTTCTAGTCTGTTCATTAGTTATGGCTAACTGCTAGAGGGTCATAACTGTCTTCTCTCCAAGACTTTGGAGTGTCTTCATCAGTAAGCAGTTTTTAATGAACACTTATTATGTGCCAGAGAGTCCCCTGGTGATACGGGGACTACAGTTTCTATTTGTAATATGGTCAAAGAAGAAAGTGTGTAAAGATGACAATATTCACTCTATCTTGAATATTATGGAACTTGAATCCATTAATTAGGAAAGGAGCAGAGAGAGGGACACTGACTCCAGAATCTGGTGAGTGTAGGTGTTCAGGAAGGCCTGCTTGGTGATGGTAATATCTCAGCTGGGTCAAGGGAAGCTGCCCAGATGAAGGTGGAACAGCACACTCTGGACAGAGAGCATCACACACAAGACCCAAGCATTTGAGTGCATTCGGGAAGGTTCAGAGTTTAGCATACCACTCAGGAATTTGAGGTTTATTCTAAAGGCATCAGCCGGGCACTGGGCACTTTAAGCAGGAAGCTTATACGGAAGCAGGCTGGCAGCTGGGTGTTTCCCTGAGTGGAGTGGAAAAATAGGTTTATATGGTGAGCTGAGGGCTATCACATTATTCACCCAAGGGAGAGACACTGTCAAGAAAAGATTGTACTCTCAGGTGGAGATACATTCTTGTCTTCTTCCTTAATCCAGTGGGGACAGGTCAGGAATCTGTCTTGAAGATCTCCCCTGGGAAGGCAAGTTCACCTTAAGATAATCCATTTTTCCTTCCCAGAAGCCCCCCTCCCCCAATGCAGTCCCTATAAATGGCCACAAGGCTTGGCTGAGTCTGCTGGGTGGGCTTGGGCTTTCCTTAGAAAGGAATGACTTATTTCTTCCTCTTTCTCTACCCCCCACCCTTCTGTTTTTTGTTTGTTTGTTTGTTTTGTTTTTTGAATGCTGGTCAGAACCCAAGTATAGTTTTAAAAAATCTTTAATATAATTTTTTTATTTATTACAATTTATTCACTTTGTATCCCAGCTGTAGCCCCCACCCTCATCTCCTCCCAGTCCTGTCCTCCTTCCCTCTCTCATCTCCTCCCATGCCCCTTCACCAGTCCACTGATAAGGGAGGACCTTTTCCCCTTCCATCTGACCCTATCCTATCAAGTCTCATCAGGAATGGCTGCATTATCTTCCTCTGTGTCCTGGTAAGGCTGCCCTCTTCCCCCTCCCCCCCCCCCCGATCAGGGGGAGGTGATCAAACAGCCAGCCACTGAGTTCATGTCAGAGACAGCCCCTGTTCCCCTTACTAGGAAGCCCATTTGGAGACCAAGCTGCCTTGGGCTACATCTGTGCAGGGGTTCTAGGATATCTCCATGCATGGTGCTTGGTTGGAGTATCAGTCTCAGAAATGAACCCTGGGCCCAGATTTTTGGTTCTGTTGTTCTCCTTGTGGAGCTCCTTAATGGACACTCCGCTCAGCCCCACTGCTTTTCTCCTAACGCCCCCTTACCTGCCTTGTGGCTGACCTCTATGCCAGCTCATTTTCTGCATTTTCCTTCCCTAGGCAGTGTGAAATACCTTGCCTGCCCTGGGGGTTTCCTTTAAATGCTAATGGATTGTCCCCAAGCTTCTGGGTCTATCTTTTTCTTAAATTCTTTCATTAATGAGACTAAGATCTCAAGAGGGGTCCCCAAGTTTTTCTAGTATCATATGAAGACTTTGTTGGAACTCCCTCAGGTTTCTGGTAACACTTCTTTCTTGCTTTTTAATTCTTTGGTTCTTTAATTGCCTGTACCGTGAGGCGGCATCAACCTTAGAAGGTGCTGGGGGCAGAGATGCCGGGGCTAATGAGGGAGGGACTGGGGCTCTTGAACTGGGGTAACTGGCATGAGGCACCAAGTGTATTTGTGAATGAAATGTTTCTAGTGCCTCATCTTGAGAACCGATCCCAAATCAAACCCAGGCAGCCGTCATTTCTGATGGTGCTGCCTGACAGTTTGACACAAAATCCTGTGTGAGAAGAAGGAGAGTAAGAGGGGTGCCGGGCTGTGCCCTTTGCGTTCTGGCCCCACATGTGAACGTAGCAAGGTTGAGAAACCCGGATGTCTCCTCTCTGCTGTGTACATTTTTGTTTCCCTCTTTGCTGACAACACTATAGGAGAGGAGTGCTTTGGGGAACGGAGTGTGAAGTGGAGAAGCACAGGTTTTAAGGGTTGCACATGGTGTGGGTAATGTCCGGGGAATTTCAGGGGAGATGGAGATAGCATTGTCAGAGTTCTCGGGAGTCTGCGGTCTGCTTTGCGAAGCAGAGCTCATAATCCCAGTGTTCTGTGTAGGGTCCAATCAAGGTTCTGTCTAACTAGCTTTCAATCTCTTCCACTTCTTGTTCCAGAGGAGTTTGCGAGGGATAGCCTGCTGACCCCTCCCCCTCCGTGTGTGTGCATGTGTTGGTGTGGTATGTGGTTTATATGTATGTCTTCCCATGTAGGGGTCTTCCTCAATTGCTTCCCATCTTATTTTTTAAAAAAGAGTCTCTCACTGAACTTGGAGTTCATCAATTTGGCTACCCTGGCTGGCCAGGAGCCCACTAGAATCTTCTTGATTCTTTCTCCCTCTTTAGCCCTGGGATTACAGGTATATCCTGCTGTGCCTGAACTTTTACTGCTGGGGTTGGGAACCTGAAATCAGGCCTCACGTTTGAGCAGTAAGCATACTACTTTACTGATATTTCTCTCCAGAGCCTGATTTCCTTCTTTGTTGGGAGCAATAAGAGACTGAGAATACTCAAGGTGT